TGCAGTTCCTCGCCTTTGACACTCAGATGCTAATGGGGAACAAACGCTACGCCATAAGTCCAGAGGAATATATTTTTGCCACCCTCAGCCTCTACCTGGACATTATCTACCTGTTCAGCTTCCTGCTGCAGATCACTGGACAAGGACGAGAGTGAGGTCAAACATAAGGAGCACATTTATTTCTGATGACACCGTTATTTTAACTGAACCTTTGCTACTAAAACACTGTGCACTTTTTTTAGAGGCAGGTTTTTGTCTGTAACCTCCCATGTATTACTGCAGTAATACTGTAGTACTATCTCCGGCAGTCACTAGTAATACTGTAGTACTATCTCCGGCAGTTGTACTCACTCTCAGACAGTGTGCTGTTTTTAAACACTCATTAGTCCCATAAGTGGATGAAGTCACTTACAGTAACAGAGTTAAGCAGCTGACATCCGTCTACACATCATCACTGGTCTTATTAACCCATCAGTGAGCCACCAGTGAAGAAACCCTGTTTTTTTATATAAACCAATATGATTTTAAACGTCATGTTGATTAGATTTACAAGTGTTAATTCACAGAATTCACAGCAACCTATACATGAATGTGGGTATGTCACAAGGCCTGGACCCAAGTTATATTTTTTCTAACTTAAAAATTGGAGGAAAACTAAACAAAAACTGTCTTCAGTCTGACGACATTATGAAGGTTTGTACGTAGTGGATTTTTTTTTTCTAATGTACTTGGATCTGTCAACAATAAAGACTGACAATGGAGTTTGGAGCTTGCTTAAGAAGAATAAAAGAAACCCACCCTGTAGAACACACTTCATCAAAACAAGACTTTTATTAAAAAAGAGAAAAAACAGACATTTCAAAATTCAAAAGAGAAAAAAAAAAACAAAACAAGAGAAAATGAAAATCTTATCTCAAACAATTAAAAAACACAAGTTACAGAAAAATTGAGCAACTCTGGCACAGGAAGACAAAAAGTAGCCAAGTGGCTTTGCAAAAATAACCAAATATCAAAAAACCTCTTTCCTCTACCAAAACTGTACAAAATGAGTTGTTGTATAAATAAGGAAACCGTTCACGAGCAGGAGGCGAGGCGGCACCGTGGCATCATCACAACGGCACACAACTCTGTTTCATACAGTGTTTTTATCCTGCTGGAATTAACATTCAACTGACAATGTTACAAAGGAAAACTAAGGCCACTAGCACTGACTAAACTGGAACGCTGTGACGATGCTGACTGACGATCGTCTCGCCTCGTAAACGCTCATAAATCCTGTTTTAGCAGCAAAATGTTTTGAAGCTATGAAACAAACTCCCACCTTTACATAAGGATGGAACAAAAAAAGATGTGGACCAAAATGTAATAAGTGCAAGTTTTTTTTAAATCTAATATTGTGTACTACAGTACACCACTGATCAATAATTTTCCCTAAAACTAAATGAAACTTTTTTTTTCATAACGCAAACTCCATTGGGAGCATCATTAGTTATAATTCTACCTATGTGGACAAGCTTAAAAAAAAAAAAACGAAAATAAATAAAATGAAAAATAAATAAACACTGCTGTAACGAGGGGTCATTTCATAGTTCCAAAAATCCCGTGTTTGTGTTACATGTGATGGCTAATACATGGAATATCATTTTTTTATCTGAACAAATAAACAATATCCATGACATTTTCCTTCATGGTGCACTGAATCTTGCAAGGTCACTGTGTTCTCTTGAGAGAGAAAAAAAAAAAAAAACGAAAATAAATAAAATGAAAAATAAATAAACACTGCTGTAACGAGGGGTCATTTCATAGTTCCAAAAATCCCGTGTTTGTGTTACATGTGATGGCTAATACATGGAATATCATTTTTTTATCTGAACAAATAAACAATATCCATCACATTTTCCTTCATGGTGCCCTGAATCTTGCAAGTCACTGTGTTTTCTAAAAAAAAAAAAAATGGGGAAGCACAAAAAAAAAAAAACAACCAACAAAAATAAGTCAAAAGGGCAGAGAAAAAAAAAAAGAATATTTACAAAGTCAGCTCTCTGGTCTGAACTCTGTCACCCGAACAGAAGATGTTCTTAGTATCAAACCAAAATGAGTCTAAGCCACGAGTACTTGCCAAAAAAAATCACTAATTTTTACATAGCTATGGAAACCTCTGTGTGTGTGTGTGTGTGTGTGTGTAAGAATACCATAACTGTAGAGGAACTACCACGGAGGCCCTTCGCAGTACTTTGTGTGTCACCTGATGATGATGATGATGATTTTAAGATTTATTCTCTATTTTTGGACAGACAGACAAACAGTATAAAAAATACTCTACCATCTGTGACAGGACGATGACAGCATTTACTGCAGTTTGAAATTCCTTTTCTTTTTAACGTTGGTCAGTGAGTTCTGAATGAATGAATAAATGTCAGGACACGTGATCCAACACAGTCCTGATTGTTAACGTAGCTCAGCACGTGAACAATGGCTAACTGCGCAAATTTTGGTTGACTGAGGTTTTTTTTGCTTTTAAAATGCACAAAATATTGCTACAAGAGCAATGTAACATAAAAATCTCTCTAATTAGATATTCCTACGTTGTCTTAGTAAAAAAAAGATATATGAGCACCCAAACAAAATGGGCTTTTACTATAGCTCTTAGGCCATTACAGAGTTCACTGCATCATAATAGGGAGTGTCTTAAGTTGCATTGCACTTGAACTCATATTTTGAGCAGGTTTTTCAGAGGTAAATGTAGAGATAAACGCAGTTTTTGTTCAACTGCTGGCCGAGCAGCTCAATCGTGTGATCTTTGGCAGTCCAGTGCTGACGAACACATGACGGCTCCTTGAATTCTATACAACAATCTGAGGAGCATCGCTACGACGTAGTGTGGACATGCTGCCACACGTCACAGGTGCCACGGAGACAGAAAATAACCCCGTCTCAGAGTTCAACTTGTTGCCACTTGTTGGTTGTGTTGTTTGACTGTTGTTAATCTAATAAAGCAGCAGGTGGTTCCCTCTACAGTTAATGGAATGAACTGCATCTGTAAAGCACTGTCTCCAGTCACAAAGCCAGTGAACAGCCCACTGCAGCTCCACAGCTTTTGCAGCGGACGTCTCCAGGTCCACATCTACCATAAAGACAAACACACAGACTTTCTTGGTATTAAAAAAAACACACCTCCAAATACCAAACACCAGCATGTGTGTGTGTGTGTGTGTGAAATCCTTCTCTTTCTGAATTAGCCGCAACCAAAAGTGTCGTTCTATCCAGATAGGCTGCTCCGACTGTGTTTTGAGAGAACGTTAGTTTATCTGTGACTTAGAGCTTCATGAGAGGCAACCAACAACTTCTTTGGTTGCACAGATGAACAGAGGAAAAAAGAAACACACGGCAAAACAACAACAACAACAACAACAACAACAATGTGGATAAAAACTGTACAAAAACAAAAAAACAAATCAGGGTCAGAAGCAGAATTAAACTGCATGTTTCAAAAAACTGTGTTTCACAGTGGATTCAGACATGAATGACTCAAGAGTGAGGGGTAAAAGTTCTACGTTACCCTACAGCTGTCATGACCTCCGTGACCGCCAGCTCTGTGGCCTTCAAACAAGCCTGTTGCCTTTTCTGCCACACATATTTACAACTCGTCGTCAATTCTACAAGAGATCAGGCAGTTTCATCAGAGAGTAAGAACATTAAGGCTGAGCTAATAATAGGGTTTGTTGTTTTTTTGAGTTTCGAATCGCTCGCAAATTCATTTAGAGCCAACGTCTCACCAAAGGCTGCACGGCTCATCAGTAATGGCACTTCCACTGATTATGAGCGAACAATTGTTTTTTTTTATCATCCTTTCTAAAATCTACGGTTTTCTATTTTCAACTGTACGAAGTGACTTCAGCTTCACTCGACATAAATGACTGAAACACACCTGGGCTCATGTGGATGAAGTCTTCTGGAGCCACAACACTGACGCAGCATCAGAACGACTCTAAGATCAGCACCACAGACCAACGCAAGACATGGACGGAGCCATCGGAGGACAATAGTGATGCCCCAGGAATAATAAAAGGGGGGGGGGGGCAGCTGCAGAGGGAGCTAAAACACTGGGCTTGATGGGGAGAGTGATGGGGAGTTAAAGGACTATTGAAGACCAGCAACAACTACAGGCAGACAGTGTCAACGCCACAACATTATGGACAACCGCATGTGGACAAAAAGCCAAATTTGTTTTAGAATAATGGAAGAAATAAATCAGACTTCCACAAGACAGAAACCAGTAGAAAATCTCTGAACTACAGAGAATTCCTACAACTGCACCACCGTAGCCCCCTGGTGGGGCATAAACGAAGGAACTAAAACAAAGTTGTCAGCAACATCTGTCAACATTGCCATGAGACGTTTATCTTCTCAGCACCGGCCGTCGTGGTGCCATGTTGGTTTGATCCCAGCTGCAGGTGTCACCGGCGGACACCTGACAACAAAAAACATCCTGATGGTTTTCATTGTTTAACATCGATGCTACAAATTGACACCATCGATGGCTTCGTCCATTTCTTATATTGGTTTGATAAACAGCACTAAATACGCTCACACTAACCCAACGTTCGAACAAGTTGGTACTCCTTCAGAAAACGCAGTGAAAAATAAACTAAGAAATCTAACAATTGGTTACGCTTTTGTCAAAAAACCTTAGATGCTCTTTTAAAACCCGATCTTGTGACACAAAACTGTTTCTTCTTAAACTCAAATGTAGTTGTTTTGACATTTTTCTGAAGAGTACCAACTTCCTGTGTAAACAGGGTCAAAAGTTTGACCTGACCAACTATTAGGACAAGTGATACGCTGAAGAGGAAGATGACGATTTGTTTGTGAAGCTAAATGGAAAAAAAAAACCCTGATGTGTGTGTGTGGAACAACAGCTTTAGGAGACTCTAACATCTACACGCTAGAAAAAAAAAAAAAGCTAAAATCTACAGAGTTAAAATCGTATATACTTCAAAGACAAAGTCATCAAAAATAAGGCAAAAAAGTGTTTCTTTCAAGTGACAGACAAGAAAAAAAAACAGAAGACATTTTACTTTCTAGAAACTAAAACAAACAAAAACAAAATCACAGACAGACAGAATCAAACTCAGGTGACAACAGCAGCATTGAAAAGACTAAAAAAAAAAAAAAAACTCTCTTTTTTTTTTCTTTTAGTCCTCCGTCTGATTTCCCCTTATTGCTTTTGACTAAACTACATCTCGACTGTGTAACTGCCCAGTTCTTTGTACACGTCGTGTTTTCCGACTGCTCAGATGTGAAGCACGTTCATCCCTCAGACGCAGGATGACTCGAATGATACCTGAAGGTTTGCCACAATAAAACCGCTTAAAACCACTTCCCACGGATGTTGGATGGAGTCATGTTAAAACAGAGCAGGCTGTGAACGCGAGTCGCTTCGAAAAATGGAGCTAAACTCATCAACGTCATCAACCCTTTTTGAAAAAAAAAAAAAAAAAAAGCACATTAGAATTTCTGGTGTAGTCAGAGCTCATCGTGGTGGTGGTGATGGTTTGGACCGGAGATGATCTTCTCTACAGGCTACAGTATTAAATAACATTTCCATAAATGTTGTCATGATCTAAACACTATAAAAACACAACTATCATTCAAATATAAATAGAATCGATTGATTGTCTTTTTGTTCACTGATAAAGAGAATGGTTTACATTTTTATTTTAAGAAAACTCACTGGACTCAACTCTGCACAGTCACGGTTCGGGTTCTCGTGTGTCTGTGAGGACGAATCTCTGCAGCAGTTTCAGGTAGAAGTAGCTTTAAACGGTTTCTCCTCTCAGGGTTGACAACACAACAGACCAGCAAAAAAAGGTTGGTAATTTTCTTTAAAATTGTACAAATTGTTGCCCCGCACCACCCTTTTGCTGCAAATTGAATGTCAAACAACAGACACCAGAAAATAAAAAATTAAAGTTTGCATATTTTACAAAAAAAAACAAAAAAACTAAAAGACATTTTACATGTTTTATCTCTTCCGTGAATCACTCTGAAACGTCCAGAATGTTTTTGTTAAAAATACGATTTTTTTCCCCCTATATTTCGTGCACAAAAATAATGCTCTGTGTCTCTTCTTCTCTTCTCTAAAGTTTTGTTTTCCTAAACGTCTTGATTTGATCCTTTTTCAGTTAACAAAATAGATCAGAGCTTCTCTGAAGAAGAAGAAGAAGAAGAGGGAGGAGGAGGAGGAGGAGAGGAAGAAGAAGGAGGAGAAGGAGAAGATTCCCACCTTTGGTAGATCAAGAACTCTTGATTATGTGAGCATGAAGTTCTAATGAAGTAAGTGTTGTGTTTAAAAAAAAAACAAAAAAAAAACATTCACACACAAATGCACAGATGTGCCTGACCACACACACACACACACACACACACACACACACACATTCCTTTTGTAATCCGTGTTCAAGTCCAGGTGTTTGATGATGGTCTGGAGCTCAGATCTCTTCCAGATGAATCCACTACCTGGATTCAGTACAAGCCCTTGGCCCCACTCTGCTGCACAACACAACAACACACACCGACAGTAATAAAGTTGAGTAAAAAAAAAAAAAAAACAAATCCCCCCCCCCAAAAAACAACTGATATTTTGTCTACGTTTAACAAATCGTTCCGCCTGTAGTTTAAGACCAGTGAACGTCTCTGTCCTACCTTAGCTTCACTTGGTGTGTTGGTATGAGTAGTTTGTGTGTTCTGCAGGGTTCTCCATAGCAACCTGTTGCTGTTGGCCACCGTTCTCCTGAAAAACATTTTTATTAATATTATAATTAATTAAATAACAACAACATCAATAATGATATGCTAATATATAAAATGATCAATAATTATTATCACACACAATAAGAATAACAACAATAATAATTATTATTATTGTTATTTTTATTTTGTACTATTATGATTATCATTAGTATTATAATAATAATAATAATATTTATTATTATTATTATTATTATTATTATCAAGTATTTCTGGTATGCTTCATTTCTGTACATTAATATTTAGTTCAGATTTTGGATTTACACTCTGTACCATGAAACCTTGGAATTTGGGTTCACAAATCAATTAACTATATATATATATATATATATATATATATATATATATATATATATACAGTATATTCCATACAAGACTAATTTCATTCTGAAACCAGTAATGTTGTAAATGTTATGAAACACCACACATGTACACACAGATGCAGTTCCGTGTGTCAACATCAGCATTTTGTCTGTTGGAGTACGACCATGAAGGACAATGAGTGAACCTGAAGGTCAGGGTCCTACCTCAACTGGAACATTAGAGGGAGGCACTGGGGTGTACTGGGGGATGTAGGTCCCCTGCATAGTTGTGTTAGCCGGTATATACTGAATGGAAAGCAACGAGAAGTCTGTGTTAGACTCAGAGGAAACAGAGATAAAGTCACAGACGGCTGGTGGCACTGACCGTTCCTGTGCTGCCCAGGGACAGGTGGCTCAACTGCTGGGTGAGAGGTCCCATCATGGACGTGGGCTGGATAGACATAGTGTGATCCATGGTGGGGGTGAGAACTGTACCCTGTAAAAACACACACAGTGGACAAAAAAAAATCACTCAATGAACATTACCTGTACAATGTCACAGTATCTGTTTGTTAATAATTACATCAGTCCAGGCTACTTATTGTGCTTTATTAATAGTGTGTGTATAATATAATGTGTACGTGTACTAAAGTGTGTACCAAAAATGATGACAGATGTGTACGTGTACTAAAGTGTGTACCAGAAATGATGACAGTATACAGACATTACCCAGAATCCAATTATTATACACCAATTATTTCACAAAACCACAGTTAGTCCCTTTAACAGACAAGCTTTTTTTTCTGAGCTACAGAACAGAAGCTTCCAAACAACATCATCAGACAGGGCTCTTTTTTTTTTTCTGAGCTACAGAACAGAGGCTTTACTCACAGCTGGCTGCATGAGGTATGACTGATGATGCATCCAAGACGGGCTGTGTACCTGAGGATTACAGAACCAGAATCTGGATTAATCCCTTCACCACAATCCACTAGGGCTTCGTCTAAATGTGTGACAAGGAATTAAACACTAACAACAATATAAAAAAACAGAAAAATCCCCAAAGAATCTAGGGGGAGTCCAACCTGGTAAGATGAGACAGGAGAATGCATGTACGGTGAGAGGGACGTCTGAGTGATCATTCGGTTTGGAGCCAGACTGTAGGGTGAGGAGTAGAAGCTGCCAGAACAACAGAGAAGGGTGTGAAAAAAAAAATCAGCAAGACAGCTGCACCTTTGTTAATGTAAATGTAAAATAAACAGTGATTTTTTTTCTTTTGTTCAATGATAATAGCAGTGTTGTAGGATTTCAGGTTCATTTGAAGCAATAGCTGAGAATGTGTCGATGGGTCAGAGGGATGGGAGGGGCTTAGTACAAAACGGGAGTTATGCAGAAAATGTTCAAATTTTAAAATACATTATTTATCAGACAAATTGCTTAATTTTTTTTTTAATGTTTCAAAAATGACAGGTTTAAAAACGGTCCTGGAATTTAGATGTATACGTGTGTGAGAACCAGTGATGGCCGGCAGAGGGCAGCATTGCACGAAAACTAAAAAAAAAAAAAAAGCACTTATTTACTGTAGGGCTGGGCTGTTTTCAGTCAGTGTGTGCATACCACTCACCCATTTTGTAAAGCTGTAGGGTCATAGGCAAGCGTCATTCCTCCCTAAGAAAAACAACACACAGAATTCAAAACCAGTGAGGTCATGCAAACACTGGCGCAGTGTGTACAAATGTTCTCTGACTGCACACACACACACACACAGAAGTCACATCCAGATAACCCTTGTACAGTACACGGACAAACATAACAAGTTCAGGCCGGAGAGCTGAGAGTTTGTTTTTGTTACCGTGTCTCCGTCTCTGGCCCAGGGTCTTCCATTCTGAAGGTACTTCCCCTGATTCTGCCTCTTCTTCTGTCCACCGTCTGCAAACTTCACTAACAAGGGTTCTGTGGGCACTGTGAGAGAAAGGGTAAGAACAGAATGGTGTGGGGGGGGGGGGGGGGGGGTGGGGGGGGCACCTTGAGGGGGAGAGAACATTAGAAGGTTTCTGCACTGACAAAAATATATCAGATTCTCAAAATGCATTCCACACACCAGGCACTCCGGGGGGAGTCTTGATAAATTTCCCGTTGAAATGCTGAATAATGGCTTCACATTTCTCCGTAGATTCCATTCTGAAACAGAAACCAAGTGGAAGAATTTAGTCTTTTATGTGAAGTTTTATTTACCCGAGACACACGCATACACTTGTTTTTTGTTTTGTTTTTTAGACATAAACCACACTGAGCTGAGGAATAAAAAACGGCTGCTTGGACCAAGCTAAATATTCCTACAATTAAATCATTTATGTTGTATCGAGCAGAACATTTTAAGGACAATTACATTTAAAATGAGTGAAAATGTCTTTGCCCCTAAAAGGTGGAAAATCCTAAATTTAAGTAGAACATTTCTACACTTCTAGCTCAACAGCAGCTGGAACAACGTATTGGAAAAGAGCTGTATTTCCACGATCCTAAAGCATAACATTATTAAGAAGAAATATTTTCTTCTAGATGAAAAATATTAGACTTCTTTCACTGATATTTTTATTTAAAAAAAATCCCAGTCGACATTTTCCTGAGTTTGCCTTTCTTTATGACAGAAGCAGCGGGAGTCGTTCTGGGTGGACAACAGCAGGAGAAAGTCAATAACATTTATATGACAGGTGATGCTGGGTCCTGCCAGCAGGAGGCAGGATATTCGTCTGCTTGATCACAGTGAATTATCTGAAGCCTTTCCTACCGTGACGTGACAGAGGGTCTGAGCAGGTAGTGCTGAGAGGAACTTTGATGTTTGTATTCACACACATATAAACACACACACAGAGGACTCTAGGATCACGATCAGACTGTGGTTGTTTGTCTGTTGTTTGTCTGTTGTTTGTCTGTTGTTTGTCTGTTAGCAGCTACACATTCAACTGTAAACAATCATAGAAAATGTCCACGTAGAAGCAGTCGTCACACACAAACCATGTCCAACACAGAACCAGAGAAATGACCCAAATGCAGTGTTTTGTGTGTTTATGTCTTCAAGTTTCATAGTGTAGCGGTTAGCACGCCCGCCTTACAAGCAGAGACCAGGGAGTGCTGGGTTCGATTACCCCGGGGAACCACCTGTCCCTAACGGCGCCTCCCCTGTGGCTGTCTGTGTGGGTTGCAAAAACTCACACAGTAAATGTCCCCGTTTTGGGACTCTAAGATTGTGGTTCTGTAGTGTAGCAGTTATCACACCCGACTTGAGGGTCTTGGGTTCGAGCCCCAGAGGAAACACATACTCAGTGCCATAATGTAGCAGTTCCATCAAAGGACTCAATTATTATTATTATTATTATTATTATATGACATGACGGAGCTGTTGCACACTGACCTGGCAAATCCCACCCCACGACTGGTCCCGTTGGCATCCCTCAGGATGCGTGTGGAAATGACCTGACCGAAGGACTTCAACATGCTCTCCAACTCTTGTTCGTCCATAGACACTGGCAGGTTGGAGATGTAGAGGTTGGTGGGATCCTGCTCCTGTTGCTGTGAAGGCAGTGAGAATACAGTGGACAGTTGGTTACAGAATATCTTACAGAGCAACTGTATTAGGATCTAATTTAATTTAATTTAATTTAATTTTTTTTAAAGGATTGTGGATTATTTTGACATTATTTTGTTCAATGAGAAAAGCTTATTATCATATACAGAATAGTGAGGGGGGGTTGGGATTAATAAGACAGTAGTGACACCTGCTATAAAGTATGGCTTATAGAAAGGGGTGTCAAACATACGGCCCGTGGGTCAAACCCGGCCCGTTACGGCGTTCAATCCGGCCCTGAATCCCGGAATTTTGAAAGTAAAAAAAATGGACAAAGACTTCATGTTCATGTTATGTTTTGTAAAATTACATTTAATAAATATGAAAATTCTCTAATATACTAATATAATTATGTTATGATCGTACTGGTCCGGCCCACCTGACATCTAATCAGGCTGAATGTGACCCCTGAACCAAAATGAGCATCAACAGCCCTGGTTTAGAGTCTAAAGCTGAAGATCGCGGTGAAGAAGATGGCTGAGATTCGACCACATAAAACGGTGCCGTCAAGGTGGGCTGGACAACTGTCCCAGCTATAAAAGGGGGCGCTGCAGACAAAGTTTGGGAAGCAGCGCTGAAAGAGGACTCCACTGCCCCTTTAAGTGCCCCGGGAAAATTCACCATTAATTTCAATAATGTGGTCATTCACCAGTACCAACGTGAACCAGATGGTACTGTTGAAGCTGAAGAAGAACCCCACCCTGATCTTTGCTAATGGATTTGGTTTTTCACATTTGTGTGTAGGCAGCAGTGAGATCACGGTCTTTCCGTTTACACTTGCTGCCACTCCTCACTGCACAGTAATGCTGTAGGATACAGAGGATTAAATGTTCTGTAGGCACTGGTGTAAGGAAAAAAAGAACATTCCACTTTGAGTTCTAAACAATAATAAAGCAATAAAAGGGCGGCCACACACATCAACACCACGACAACAGTGTGTGAGTGTGTGTCAAAGTCTACTTTCACACTTTAAAAAACAGTGACACGCACGACAGGGAACGGTGGTGTTGGAGGAGCAGCATATTTAGATCCATTTAAGCCTCCGCTCCAAAGTGAAACTTTGTGTGACTTTGCAGAAGCAGACAGGAAGCCAGGCATGAAGTTAGAGAGTTCACAGAGCAACAGAAGCCTGGCAACCGGGAGAAAGGAGGAGGGGCTTAGTGGAGTGGAGGGAAAAAAAAAAAAAAAAAAAAAAAAGAGCAGAGGAAGAGGCTGAGACAGATGTAGAGCTGGAGAAGTGAGAGGTTTAAAAAGCTGATATTTGGTATAGAGAAGTGGAAGTGACAGGATTGCATGTAGAGTTTTTTTTAAATAATTTGGGAAATGAAAGTGTAGGATTTAAAGAAAAAAATAATAATTGTTTTTTTGTTAAAAGCTATTTCGTAATAAGTGGCAAAGAGTGAAAAAAAAAAAATATATATATATATTGAAAATGGACTTAATGTCAAAGCCGTGGGGTCACAACCCTGGGGACTGGCATCGAACCTAGAGTCTTATGGTGACAGAGCTACGACCCACTCAGCCCCCCCTACTGGGTTGATAACAGAGCACATGTACCCTGACTCTGTAAGGCACTATTGACAGCTCTTTCATAAAACTTCCCTGGTTACTGAATTGACTATCTCGCAGGAAATCAAACAGGAAGTTCCTATTGAACAAATGAAAGAGGAAATAAAACAGTGAAATGTAAAAGTGAGATTACAGATGGTGTTTCATTGAAAAAATAAATGTAAATGCTGACTGCAGTAACTGACTCTACGCTACAGTTTTTTTGGTTCGTACAAACACAAATCTCATCAATGCTCTGCTGCAAACGTGAAATGTTGAGTGTGCGTGCGTGTGTGCATGCGTGTGTGTGTCTCTCTACAGGTCAACCGTGCGTCTGACGAGGTGTGTCTCTGTGTGCTTTCCGGCTTGGGTGTCGTGCAGTGCATGTCAGCTGAACGTGAACAGGGAGGTGCTGGGAAGTCAGAGGGTTTCTAATTTTAACCCTGCCATTGTTCCCCTGCCCCTGCTCACAAACCGTTCCTCTGGGTGCACGGCCTGCAGCCTGCAGCCTGCGGGTGGGGGCGTTCAGGGACCCAGGATACTCCTGAGGACGGTGAAGGACAAGGTGTGGCTGAGTGTGTTTGCGAACAACACAGCAGCAGCCATGGTGAAGGTGCACACAGGTGAGGCCGCCGTGTGCCATAATGTTTTATATGGAGCTGATTGAAGGCTACGTTTGTGCTGACGCCTCTGACCTGAAGTAACCCAACGACGGAGTGGCAGCAGAGTACATTTAAGTTTTCATAGTGGTTATCAACACCACCAACTGAGCACATGTCGTCTGGGTGAGTCAGGTTTTGGTATCCGGTTGCACTCGTTGTATTGAAATACACAGGATTGTGTGGCACTCACTCTGTCAGAGGAGTTACAGTCAACCAAGGCCGGGGTTTCAGTTGCACCGCACTGGTTCAGATCAACTGCCAGTGTGGATCTGTTACAGTTCTCCAAGCCGGACTGGGGAGACCCCGGTCTGACACTGCATTGGATCTGTTTGGGTGAGGACACAGGGAGGGGACATGAATATGAAGGGAGGGGCGGGCGGGGGGGATGGCGGGGGGGGGCTGTATTAAGTGCTGGTGTCAGCTCCAGGCCTGAGCCCAGACGATGGACAATGCCAGCCTATTGTGCCTGGCTCTTTGACTGAGAGTGTAGTGGCACCCTCCCCTGGGTTCCCTCAATGGGCAGTCTGAGAGCCAGAGAGAACAGCTTAATGGGCCGACAAGAGTGGCTTTGACTGCAGACGCTTTAACAAAGAGATCAGAACAAGCCTTACAACAGGAGTGGGGCAGAGACACATTCATGCCCATGGATAAAGAGAGAGGAAAGAGGAAAGAGGAGGCGTTTGGAGGAAGCGGTGACAAACTGGAGAATAAAAGAAGAGTCAAAGTGAACCAGTGATTTCTGCACAAAACTTTTCTATATTGAGCTTTAACTTTTTAAGCCTTTTACAGCAGGCCTCCCTATAAAGCTTATCTTGAATCTCTGCCAATGGAACAGTTGACCTTTAACATGGCAGAGAGGACAAGATGAGACACTTAAGGATCAATACGTTTTTACAGAAGCTCCAGATCCAACTGGTTCATAACCTGACGGCTGGTAAACACCAGAGGGAGAAGGGAAACATTTGGACTCTTACTTTGGCCATTTGAGCCTGGACCCCACTGGACTTGAGGGCTGTGACAGCTTTCTGTGCTGCTGCTGGACTGTCAAAGTCTACAAAGCCATACCCTGTAACACAGACACAGAGAGAGTTCACAGTGTCAAAGCTCATCAGTATATTCACTGACATGTGTAGTGTTGCCTGATGTTGAAAGAGAAACAACCAGACGTACAAAAATAAGCCACTCGTTGTACATGTATTTATAGAAAGTATAAGTATTTCTTGTAGAATTTCTAAATTACATTTTATTTTATTTTTTATTTCATTTTTGAATCACCTCCCCAGCATTATTAACTCAAGTCAAGTCACCATTTGGCCCAACAAATATTACATTTGTGAGTCGGCTCAAACATACCTTTTCAAATTCTGCTGTTGTTAACTGCAATTGCAACCAGACAATTTAGGTATTTTAGTTGAGTAGATATAGAGGCGCCAAATCCCAAATTTTTTTTAAAACATGCCCATAAATATGCAAGCCATGGTTATAAATATCTTAAAGGTGAATTTACAAAAATAACCCCCATTACAATGTGGCCACTGGCTACTTCAAAATTTAACATCTGTTTGTAATTATATATGATTTCATAAAAAAAAAAATGAAGAAAATACAACATGTTTTTAGACTCATTTAACACACTGTACCGTTAAAAAAATCAGAACAGCATGGGGGGATATAACAGTCAGTGATGATAATAATAACTCAGCGTTACCTTTACATTTGTTGGTGGTTTTGTCCAGGATGGCTTTGGTTGACACAATCTTGCCATACCTGTAAAAAGACAAAAGAGTTTCAGAAAATACTATCAATCATGGAGGAGATGATTGGCGGGGCAGAGAGAGAGAGAGAGAGAGAGAGAGAGAGAGAGGGAGAGAGAGAGGAATCTGCTCCTACCACATACATTCATACCAGTGTAACCACACTTCCTCAGGCTGCAGGACGACAGGTGTAAACACGAATACTTGTTCATTTACTCATGAAGGAGTATTTTTACTGTGGTGGGTGACTGTCAGTGACTGCTCTGCTAGCGGAGGGCGTTTGGATGCTAACGTAGTTGGCTAGCTGTTATTTTAGACAACGTGTGAGGACTATGAGCTGAAACAACTGTCCTTGCAGCGGCTGGCCGACACACACCGACACACACAGACACACACCTCTGTGCTGAACATGTCTCTCTGCCACTGACATTTTTAAAATATAGATGTGATATTTAAACATATCACCATCAGGACTGATGACTCATGAAAGCCGTCTGTACGTGTTAAAGATATTTAGAATTCAGCCCAGATATTTTAGCCGTTCCAAACCATGTACAAAGCCAACGCAAAGGCACACGTGCTACGGACTTGTTTTGGTCGAGAACCGAAGTCTCGCCGTCAACATGGTAGATTCCAATCTCTGTGAGACTCCAGGACAAAAAGCCTGCAGCCGGAGTTGAAATATTTGAATGTCAGCCAAAAATACTGAGCCGACGTTACGTAAATCAGCCACAGTTGACATTTATTAACCTTTGCTAATGCTAACACTAGCATTAGCTCCAGACTCATCTTAGCTAGGGTGAAAGATAAATGTAGTCAAAACAGTTTCAACTTATTTTAACAATTTTTTCATGCAACACAATGACTCATATTTATAAAAAGACGTGTGTGTGTGTGTGTAAGTGTCCTGCCTGCGGTCCAGATCGGTCTTCTAGTCTAATCAGCATTTAAAAACACTTCCTAGAGGGATTTTCAAAACCTTGGGGATATTTTCAAATGCACGGCATCAAATACCAATCAGTGAAAATAACCAAATATATAGAGAAAATGCAGCATTAAAAACTCAACGTTGGATTGAAAATGACCGTAACGTACAGTAGATCATAGACGTTGTGTATGATGTGGAGATTAAAGTAATGCAGTGTTAATGAGGCGGTGCAGCAGCACGAAGCTCTAAAGTGATCTGCCTCTGTCTGGTGAATCCAGCCAGTGAGGGAGGCTGCTCTTCCTCTGTTTGGGCGACATGGCGTCTGGGCGGAATGTACACTGTAACCTGATGCTTCACCCCTCCGGTTTGCCTCACTTCCCACCACGTCCCTCTCTCTCTCTCTCTCTCTCTCTCTGTTTTTCCACTCTCACACTGCTGCAGCGCTGGGTCCTACAGTACGCCCGACCTCATCTCGGTGGACGTTTGCCCAAATGACTAAGACCTGACTAGACAGTCAAAGCAGAGGCTGGTGTAAAAACTGAGAGTTGAAATCATGAGCTATGTTTAGACTACAATAATGTGGCTTTGTTCCCTCTGACACTCTACGTACATGGACCGTGGGTTTCCTTTTACTACGAAGGAAAGGGCGAACGGACATAAATCAATATGTGAGCAGGATTCCTGATTTTCACTCTTCACATATCAGATCACAACCCCCCCGCCCCCCAAAAAAACAGCACATTTTTTAAGTAAAGGAGTAAAATAAGGGACGTGTCCTAAACAGGAACCTCTGTAAAAAATTCCCAGGTCTTTTCTGAGGTGGTTTTGGATCAAATACTTTTGGAACACTGCGGAGGAAACTTAATCACTACAGACATTAATAATTCATCTCTCAAACAGCCACATGACCTGAGCATAGGTTATGTTTATAGCCCTCCACTGCTATTTAATAGCCGCACAACAAAGAAACCAGATGAAGCAAGTCACTGAGTTTAAAACAATCCATCACAGCGCTAAATATTTGAGAGGTTAAAATAAACAAATGTAATAATTGGACCAAACGGGAACTGGATAAAACAAATCCTCCAGTGTTTCTCCAGTAATTGTCAGAACATTTTTTAAAGGATCTAGAGCATGTTATTTTTTTTTCCTTAGAAATGTTGCTTGAAGATTATTAAATAGATTATGCTTTTAAAAAAAACACAACACACAGTACTCACATACATGAGAGTACAAATACATATGTGGAAAATATGCCATAATGATGCTTGTTTTCTATTCCAGCAGTGGAGTATACAGTGAGCATGGGTGGGTAAAAACAAAACCATACCAAACTATAACAAACCACACAAAACAAAAACCATGTGTCAAATAGTGGCTTACGTTTGAGTCGAGACATTTTTTCGTCTTCTTCAAAATTCGTCGAGACATTTTTTCAGTGGCAAAACATGTTTCAAAAAAAGATACTTTGTAAATAATGTCCCTGTGATGATTGCTGCAGTTTTCCAAGGAACATTCTGGTGTATAGTAGAAATGACTTTTGTAATAGTCTATTGTCACTGCCACCTGATTCTCTTGCTTATGTTGCACCACACGCTGTGTTTATAAAGCCACACGACTGTATGTGGTGCAGAATGAAAGACATTCTATTCTCAGTCTACATTCTTAAACCCAAGGAACTTTAAAGAATTTGGAGTAAAACACAGCAAATCTGACTCATGCATTTCTCTTTACATGATGATGCAGCATTTCTCCAGTGGGAGACCAAGGAACCATTGTTTAGCAACAACATTTTCCAAAAGTGTTTCTGTGCTCATGTCAGTGAAAGTACCATGGTGGTTTCTACTGCGATACCATCTTCGTGTTCAAATCATAAGAACAGCTCAGCAGCTGTTTGTTTCCAACCAAGGCCTTTACACAAAGAGATTTCCAAACACCTTCCAATTTCTTTACAATACTGACAGATTTATTTTTTGCACTATATTTTGCTCTTAAAGAAGACCTATTTGTGTGTGTCTTTCTTCAATTCCTGCCTGTATATCATTGTTGTCTTTATCTAAACAGACTGAGATTTTAGAAAATTATGAGGAACAACATTTTCCAAAAGTGTTTCTGTGCTCATGTGGCTCATGTCAATGACAGTAGTTCTACTGCGATACCATCTCCGTGTCCAAATCATAAAAACAGCTCAGCAGCTGTTTGTTTCCAACCAAGGCCTTTACACAAACAGTTTTCCAAACACCTTCCAATTTCTTTACAATACTGACAGATTTATTTTTTGCACTATATTTTGCTCTTAAAGAAGACCTATTTGTGTGTGTCTTTCTTCAATTCCTGCCTGTATTTCATTGTTGTCTTTATCTAAACAGACTGAGATTTTAGAAAATTATGAGGCAATTTAAACTAGAAGATTATTATATTTCATTGCATGAGATTTTTTGTTTGTTTGGTGGTGTGCCCTGGCTCAAAAAAGGTTGGGAAACACTGCTATAGTACGATAATGTCGTAATTGCAATTTTCAGTGTAAACGCTGAAAATCTCCCTTTTGTCAGTTTAACAGTTAATTAAAGGTCCCAGTAAAAGATTTTACACCAATCTTTTTTCATCAAACTATAGAACAAAACTTAATAATATTAAATTTTTGCACTATATTTTGCTCTTAAAGACGACCTATTTGTGTGCGTCAATAAATACGTTGGAATATGTTTGTTAGACCTAATCACTCATCTCTTATACACTTCTTAAACAGTTCCATGGTTTAACTAAACCAAACTGCTGCTGCCCCTTTTTTGCTATAAATAAAATAAACCCTGAGTAGAACTACTCCTCCAACAACACTTCCCTCTGGGAAACCATTGATCGACATGAACGTCCATCAGCAGCAGAAGAAAAACAAAAGCCGTGTTTTCATGTTTTCATGTTTTTCCTTTTCTAAAGTTCAAAGGTCAGAAGGTAGTGACTGCCTGACCCGTGTCTCACCTCAGTGGCTCCACGGCAGACGTGCAGCCCACCACAACATTCAGGCCGCGGAGACTTGAAAAGACAGCCCTGACCCCCATGCTGCTGTATGACATTCTTTCCCAGCAGGCCGTGCTGCACTTTTCCCACTCATTTAGGTTTTCCTCTTCAAGGGTAGCCCTCCCACTGACCTCTAAATCCTCCAACCTGACTGCAATTCTCTACCACTTTACAATGACTCCGCTGTTAGTCTTTTGGTCTTCCCGGAATTTTACAAACCGCAGATTACAGATTTCATTTGACTTTTTGGGGATTGTGATTAAAACAATTCTGAGATACAAATCAGGATTTGCTGGATGGATGTTACGTTTCAGAGACGACCTCACATAGGGGAACAGTGGAAATGTTCAAACGGAATAAGGAGGGAGAGGCTACGCTGTTGGTCAAGTCAGGTTTTGTTAGTTACGGCCAGTGCTTGTCCAAAGTTGATCCTGCAAATGATCCATTTAAAGCAGAGAAAAGAGCAGAGGGCTAATGTTCACAATGCACCTCCATGACACACCACAGAGTCCTGAACGGTTTCACAAGAAACCAGTTTGTGTGCTTTATTGCTGGATTTCATCGGTGCGAGTAAAGCCAACATACTATAGAGTCTATGCTTAGCTCCGGGCCAACTGTTCACAGTAAGGGGAAGGTTAGATCAGGACACAAGAAAGCAGCACACTGTTCCCTTTCCTGGCCCCCTTCTCCTTCTTTGCCCCGGTCTCATCTCTTTTTTTCTGACGCCACATTTGTTTTCTCATTCCACAACTTCCCTTAAAGGCTATAGCATTTTCCTCTGCATTTTTCCAAATGATCTCCTTGTCTTGCATAAAGTCAAACATGGATTCCTTAGCACTAAATGTGAAACCCCTGCCCTGCCCTTTTCACTCTCTCTCTGTCCGACTAAACTGCTCATATTGCAAGGTTGCTATGACGTCATATAGAGATAGATAGATAGATAGATAGACAGACAGACAGACAGACAGACAGACAGACAGATAGATAGATGCATATTGAACTTGCTTTCAGAAAGAAGAATGAATCAACTCTTCTTTTTCCAAACGCTCTCCGTGTCTTGCATAAAGTCAAACATGAATTCCTTGGCACTAAATGTGCAACCCCTGCCCTGCACCCGCCCCTCTCTCTCTCCTCTCTCTCTCTCTCTTTCTCTCTCTGTCCAACTAAACCTCTTCATATTGCGAGATTGCTGTGACGTCATGATGAAGTCTATTTTTAATCAATTAATTGTGACATAAACAGGCTGAAGAAGGCGTCCAATGCTGACGCACCAGAGAAGCCATCGGTGTGAACAAGGGTAAAACCACATCTGAAGAAGAACCCCCGTGCAGATATACGGTATGTGGCGTACAAACTAAATTACAGACAGCACAATATACTTTGGATCAAAGAACTAAAACAGTCGGAGCTTCAGTTGTGGTAAGGAATTTACTCACCTTCTCTCCCTCATATTTTCCAGCCCCTGTTGCTGTCAGAACATTTGTTTTTGTCCAGAGATTGTTTGCCTCACGGATGTTTTGTTCTGTTTCATGTTTAATTTTAGACGTTGTTTCAAAGCGACAGTATCAAATGCAGCTCTGTTGCCACTGCTCCAGTGATGTAGCACAGGACCAGCATTGCTGACTCATTCAAATTTGGAAAAAAAAAAAAATCCACCCACGTTTCCCACCGACCCTTTCCCAGGAAGAATGACACATTTCTCTAAGCAAACTTTTCCAAAGAGTTTGAGTAACCAACACTACAAGTGCGTAGTCTTTGACCTTGATCAGCCAACTGAGAGTACCAAAGTACTGACTGTACTCATCTGACTCCATCCATATTTTTTTATATTTATCTTCCTAATGAGTCAGTGTTCTAGAACAGCGCCCCCACCAGCCCACCCTTTGTTGTACCAAGGACCTGTCGACCATTATCAGTCTTTACTGCAGAAAATTATGGAGCCAAACAACCATCCACACTCACATTCACACCTAGAGTCAAACTACTGTAGAGTGAAGTATTATCCAGATACTTCATGTTATTGGATCGTAAACCAAAGTATCAATAACAACAATCATTTTACCCGCCAAGATAAAAGTCTCTGGTAAACCAGACACTGAAAAAGTCAACTGCAGTGATGTTTACAGCTAAACATCGTCACTTAACTTCTGTGCTAATGCTATATTTACAATCTAAGCAGAGTCAAGCTACTGCAGCAGATCCTCGCCGCCACCTAAACAAACTATAACATGTCTCTGACTCTGACACCGAGACGAAAAAGATGTCCTCCTTGAAAGAATTACTTACGGCTGGCAGAGTTTGACCAGGTCTTGGTCTGTCGTCCCTGGATGCAGCCCACGTATATACAGATTGGTTTTACTCAGCTGTTCCCCTCCTCCACTGCTGCTGTTGCTGCTACTGTTGGTGTTGGGACTAGGGGGTGCCATTTGGTGGCCGGAGGACACATAAGCCTGCTGCAAGAAAAAGACAAACGTAAGAATGGAAGGTCTCTTTGGACGAAGACTCAACAGAAACAAATTACATTTAAAATATACAATTTAAACAAACGGAGGACACATGCTGCTGGGGTCGTATTCACGAAGGACGCAGAACTGAGAGGGGAACAGTGAGATGTTACGAGATAGCGTGAGTCCAGCATTAGACAGATTACTTTGCGGGTGCCGGGAAAAATGATTTCATATGGTCCTTGTGTCAACACTCGCCAATACTGCCTTATGAGAGGAATGTGAGGCCTCCTGGCTGCTTACTCAACAGTGGGAAGAAGGGGCCTCTGCTCTAGTTTCTGTGTGTTGAGTAACTCCTTCTTCACTTTCAGGACCACAGAGAGATCTTGTGGTGTCTATCAAAACCAAAGATCTCGGACCAACGTTTACTCTGCTGAAGCATATTTCAATAAGAGATTAGACCATGGCAATGCTCCTGCCGAATGTTTCGGATTATATTTATGAATGACAACTGTATGTTTCTGATTGGTTGCATCCATTTTTCACCATCTGTTGTTATTTGTTTTATAAGGTCAATGGTTTTCTGGCAAACTTGTATTTGTTCTGTTTAGAAGAGCTCTGTTTGATCTGCCAACCTTCCTTTAAACTGGTCATAGTATCGAAGTGCAATGCAGTACTGGGTACTATTATGGTGTGTTATTGAAAATAAAAACCAAAATCACACCTACAGGAGTATTTGTATTTTTAACAACTTTGACGCAAAGAAAAATCAAAAAACAGAGACACAAGTACATTCTGGAAGAATTGCGTAAACACTGGCTAGAACGATGCGCCGCCAAACTGCATGAAACAATTATCTCTCGATTTAGAAACTAATTCCGAAATTGAGGAAACTAAAAAAAATCCATAGTTAATAGCTAGTTGTCCGCCAGTTCATAACTGATGTTGGGGGTTTCCTTTCAAAGTTCCTTGAAAGGTATGTTTTACATTTTATTTTACATATTTGTTTTTATTGTCTTTGTGGATATTTAATAGCTTTCTGTGGCAATAGAGTTCAGTTACAAGTGAATGTAAACTAAGACTCATGAATCATTTTTTAAACCTGACCCTGTTGCAGTTTATTACCCTTGTCTGCCACAGATCAACCAACCAAGAAAATGCCGGGCATCACCAGTGCAAATACCAAAATGAAGCCAACTTCGACAGAGACAGCCAGTGACTGAAGTACTCAAACCACATGTTGTGTTTTAGCCCGAGTGTAAAGTCTAAAATAACCTTGTATAACATTGTACACACATAGGTACACAGGAGTACATGCATGTCAATGCTGTACACACATAGGTACACAGGAGTACACGTAATGCATGTCAATGTACAACATCAGTACAAGTGAGACAGCAGTTGTAACAGGCCAGTACTTTTTGAATTACACAATGTGCTTAAATACCTTTACATTGTTGACCAACTTGTGGTATTCTGGTAAAATGTTTAATTTTCCTCTAAACTACCAACTCTGTGTCTTGAGCCCAGGGTAAACTGGTAGTATTGCCCCAAATTGCCATAATGTGTGTTTGCAGTGGTTTGCTGCAATTGCACTGCAATCAAACAAAAACTCACAAACGTATTTTAATCCTCAATGAGGGTAGAACATTTCCAGGCAGACTTTTTCCCATGATAGAAACAAATCCAGGTGGCGTGCTGTCTGCGGCTGACATTACCGCTTGTCTGTTATAGTGTTTCAGTCCAGCTGCTGTGAGAGTGTTCTCACTGCATTTATACATCCAACAGCTAAGTTTGAAAAAAAAACACCCACACACAACAATAAGAACATAACAAAAAAAAAAAATCGAAGATTTAATTTAATTCCCTTTTCTTGGGAATTATTTGATTAGTCTCACAAGATGTGATTGTGTATGAATCTGAAATTGTGAAACTGGAAACATGGAAGAACAATCAGAAAGTCATCTGCTGACGAACGACCAATCCCAAAGGCAGATGTTGTTGGATTTCATCATGAATATAAATCCTATTACAAAAACCAAAGAGTTTGGAAATAAAATCACCTTCATATTCAAGAAACAAAAAATATGTATTTTTATAAATCTTAGGTTTGGTACGGAACACTCCAAACTGTCGCCACTATTGTCGTATTGACTCGTCGTCTTCCTCACTAACTAACCATACTTCTCTTGACGTCTTGGTACATTTTAAGACTGGGTGGTGCCAGTGAATACCAGTCATAAACTAACAGAGACGGAGACAGTTAGCAGAAAGAAGACAAAAGGCTGCTGCAAGACAACTTGTACAGCAATTTATCTGATTGCACAGTATTGGCTCCACTAGGATTCTTGAGGATTGTGTAATCGCCTGAAATAGGGCTGATGACGTGACATGCATATTTTTTCTTAAAGTGCAATCAAATGCACGGATTGACTGGCCGCTGATCAAAATCTGCCTGTTTTCAGCCTGATTGGCCCAGACTGGTGGTCTTTGCCTTGTCAGAAAAAATGTTATTAATGCTCAGGAAGCAGCACTTCACCATTGTATATGTTGGGAGTTAAAAGCCTTTGTTTTCATCTCTCCATTCCCACAGCACTTATTACTTGGAAAAACAATCTTTGGATTTTCAAGAACGGAAAAAAGAGAAGGTTCCTTATTTCTTAAAGTCACTAAAAAACAATGTCAACTGCAGACATTGTTGGTTTTATTTGTTTGTTAGGTGCACAGGAACTTGTTAATTTCACTATTTTATTACAGCCACAAAGGACTTTTTAGGAAAGACAATGAAGAGAAAACCTGTGACTGAGTGCACGTTTTAAGAAATGGTTATGGAATAAAATGTTGTGCTGAAGAACACTTTACTTTGTCCATATGTTTTAAATAGAAGAATCGAAATCAGAAAACATGGGTGAACAATCGAACTTCTCTGAATTATAAGATGTATCGGCTATGGTCCAAGCAAGAATCTTTATAGGACTGGAGCATCTCTCTCCAGACTCTGAGTTGGATGGTGGGGGGGGAAATCTCACAGGAGTCAGGGTCACTGCAGACTGATGATGTTTGGGAAGAGCACAGCAGGATGACGTACCTTACACCCAGACCCCCGGCTCAAGCGTGAAACAATCGTGCTAATTAGATAGCATCCATTAAAGACACAGCCCTGGAGAGGAGCCACTCTTGTACCAGCAGCAGGGGCAGCTTTTTAACAACCACATAGTTATTCCATTGAGACTGGTCCTCGGCAGAAATGTCCAAAACGGATTACAAAATGGGCCAAAAGTCAAAAAGTAAGACCGAAAAAAGAAAATACTATATTAGTCTCAAATCTAACTTCATTTTAGGAATAATAAAACAATACACGTCTCCGAGTACAGAAGAAACTGGGCATAAAAGATTTACAGGACGCAGTACTGAGGGCAATACAAGTTAGAATGGTTATTAAATTAAATGGTTATAAAAAAATGTTTGTTAGAAAAAATGCTTTTATTTTACTTTTAAACAATACATAAATGTTTCTTACAAATTCCCCCAAATAAGTTGGCTACATTAATGCTAGTCAACTGCTGATTTTCACTTTTAAACTGTGACGACGGTGTGAAGTTCCCAGAAAACGACACTCAGCCATAATCATGCCTAGGAAACTTAAGCCAGCGACTGACCAGTAAGCAAAAACAGACTAGTCTCAGTAGTGGCGTCAAAAGGGAGTACCATCATCTGTTTATGTAGACGACACAGTTTAATGCAGTAGTGGAAACACTTTTGTTTGTCTAATGAGGTACAACTGCTGTTATTAAACTCACTTTTAGCTGAAGCGTTCCAAACAAAATATTCTTCTAAAATAAAGAGGAATTTATTATTTAAAAAAAAAAAAAACGACTTTCTTTATAAATTTCTTCACCCCTGTACATCACAAAGTGACGGTGATAACTGTTTCCCACACTGTCATTAATGGAGGAGTAAATGTGACAGTTTTGACTCCTGGCAACTGTTAAAACGACTGCTTCTCTTTTTAGAGCCACACGCCTCCGTTTGATCTTCGTCTCTTCCTGTGAGGCTTCTCCAGCTGACCTCGGTTTGACCCAGAGAATTCCACAGATTTCCTGGCTCCTGGGGGGTCTGTCCTGCTCTCCTCTGAATCGAATGTTCCCCCCCCCCCCTCCCCGGCAGGAAAAAAAAGCCACGGCTGTTTGTCCAGCTGACCGACTTCCATGCTAATGCACAGATTTATGGCTGAAGGCTGAATGTGAACACAGCCTTCAGCCGCTATAGAATTACAGTGCCGAGCTGCTGCTTTGCCTTTCGTACCAACGGAAAACTATTTACTTTTTCTGATGCATTTTCTTCTACAGTGAAGCAAAACAACAGAGTGGTGAAATGGAGAAAATGAGGCAGGAACTATAAAATGACAGTATGGGGAATCAGGGAGTTAGTAAGCTACAGAGCAACAGCAGACAGGAAATCCTCCGTCTCTCCAACTGATCTTATCACATGTCTGTTTGAATGAAGAGCGCTGCATTCCAACCAGGTGACAGGGACACCAACACACACGTCCTGACTCGTTGCTGCAGTTTATGTCCTTTGTCTTTCCGTGAACAGGTTCAGATATTTCAACCCATTATCACACACTGATGCACATGGAGACTCCCAGTGCACATGCATGCATGCTTTCAAGCCAGATCAGGTGACGACAGACGGAGAAGTGGGAAACAGATGTCGGCAAGCCGACCCTGGGCTCAGTGGACATAACATCATCACTGGCCCTGCTGTTTTTTTTTTCTATGCAAGAACTACGTCTCCATTCATACCTGTTCACCTTGACTGGTTGCTGCAGTTGGCATGGGAGCTGGAGACCAGTCCCAAACATCTGACACATTAAACGGGAGTTGGACACACATATACCTGGCAGAAGGCCAACTGGACCAAGGTCACCTTTCTGGAGAGCTTACGGTGGATGAAGCACTGCACGTTTAGTAACTGGTAATCCACCAACTGCCAGGTTGCCACTG